AATATTGTTCTCCAAATTCAGATTGTCAAGCAAATTCTCTATAAATTGAATATCAAATCACGAAAAGCCCGATTTCTTCACTTTTAAAGTCAAAAAAAAAAAGAAAAGAAAAAAATTTTTTTTAATCCTATTTCAAATAATAATCCCTGGTGGATTTTTTCTCTTTAGAAAATAACATTCTCTTTAAAAAAAAAAATACTCTCATCATTTTTCCCCACTTTTAAAATAAAAAATAAAAGAAAATGCCAATTAATACCACATGGTTGTTGTTAAACACGCTGCGCGTGCTTTCGATCATTTCATTATCCCTAGTTATTACAACATGTATTATAGTGAACGTGAAAGGATTTCCTGGCTTAGGCAAAAGTAATACAATATTCCAGTTTTTCAATCGATTTTTTATCGGTGTAGAAGCATTAATCTTAATATTTACCGAAATCGGATGGCCACGTCGGATTTTCCATTGGTTTCCAATGTTGGATGAAACTCATACTTGGACTTTCTTTGGTCTTTTACAAACTGCAATGGGTTCACTTATCCTTGGATATGATAGTGGGATAGGAAGTCAAAAGTTTTTGGGTCAAAGCTTATTCCTTTTCATTGTGGTACCCGGTTGGTTTGTATTCATTATTGGAATTATTTATATGTTTTGTGGAGCCTTTGGTGGCGTTTCTTTGAGATCTCGGAGATCGTTTGGTAAATCTGAAAAATCTCGTCCTCCCCCATACAACTTGTAGAGCTTAGTCTTGATTCTACATTGAACTCTGAACAGAACGTAATAACTTCGTAATTAAATTAAAATACTTAGTCAAAAATTTTTATTTTATTAATCTTGTATTATTATTATATAGATTTTTAGTGTCAGCGTGAAAAAAAAAAAAAATTTGTGTATATTATTGTTTCAGTTAAATTTTCTTTTTTTCTTTCAAAAGTGGATGTAAATTAAAATAAAGAGAAAGAATCAACCTCTAAGGTTTTTATTTAGGATTAATCATTAATTAACGAATTGCTTTTTTATTCGAATGTTTGCCTAAACTACACAATTTACATTGGATCAACTAAAATTTGATATCATTTCCAAGTAAATTTTCTCATTCACCAATTCCATCTGAATATATATATATTAGTTATTAAATTATTGCAAAATGTCCAAGTGATGTTTTTCCAGTACTTTGGTGGTGACGCCTTCAGAAAGAACCGTTTTCCAGTCGTTGATAAGTTGTTCCTCCAGAACCTCCTATTTAATGTAAATTAGGAAAATAGCAAGGATAAAATGCACATTAGTACAAAAGTCAAAAGACGATAATTATATACCTAGCCTTGATATTCGTTTTAGTCGTGTATTTAAATCATTGTGTGAAAATAATTGGTTCAAGAGATAAAATTTTTGTGAGACACTTACCAATAATGGCTGCCGGTTTTGTATGATTATATGAAAATGATAATCAATAAGAAACTCATTGATATAATCTATTATCATCTTCTACATTCAATAATAAACCCTGGAATTCTACCTCTGTTAATTGCCATATGTTTTAGCCTTTCATCAAAATCGTCATCCGCTTTGAGTAGGAAAAGCATTGTTTTGTTCATTTAGAGCGAGACAAAGAACCATGATTTCAGCTGATCTGAAAAATAAAAATTTTTGATAGTTTGAGAAATTTTGTTTGTATATATATATAAAATACTGTGACTAATAATAAGCAGAAAAAAGTTTGCTGATGGGCTAAATTAATTAGTCTTAGACTCTCAGAGCCATAATTCAATCAGTAAGACTCTTGTTTCAAGTGCACACATCACGGGTAAATGACCACATATGATCTAAAATGACATCATTTATTATAAATAGTTATTGGAATTTGCTACTAATTTGCATAAATACGGTTGTTAATTTTAAAAAAAATACCGAAAAGTTCTTTTTTTTATTTAATTTTGAGCACATTAGAAGAAAGGAAAGATAGATATTACTTTCAATATAATAAATCACTAATGAAAAGAAAACTTGACACCTAGAAAATGAGTTTTTAAAGTTTTATCATATAGTATCAAGATAATAACACGAATAAAAAAATAATTTTACAATTCGTTTCAGTAAAAAAATATTCTCGGGATGTTGTATTATATTATTTTTTTTTTGGCTTGAAATTAATATGATGATTTTATTTTGGTTTGTGCACACTGGTCGCGTTTGCAAAAGCCAAACGTTTCGAGCTAAATTCTGAAGTTCTTTATCACCAACTGACCTAACACTTTAAAAAACAAAATTTTCATCTTAGATTATAAATTCTTTATTAAAGGAAAAAGTTTAACATGTAAAGATGTTTTCACAGACTGATAAAAATATTTCCTAATAAAAATTTAACTATAATTCAAACATTTTTATTAAGAGATAGTAATTTTCTTGCCAGTAGGTGCTGTCTTTGGAAGGCTCAATTCAAGAAGACCGTTTTCAAACTTGGCTGTAATATCATCGGGTTTAACATTCGACGGAAGCGCAATAGAACGTGAAAAAGAACCATAACGACGTTCTTGAACGTAAGTATTTCCTTCTTTATATTTCTGCTCTTGTTTAGTTTCACCCGAAATTACAAGTGCGTTGTCACGAACATCAATGTTTATTTCTTCCTTTTTCATTCCCTACAAATTACAATATTTTTAATGAAACAAAATTAAAATATAATAAATTAAATAAACAAATCAGATAAATAAAATACCGGTAATTCGGCTTTAACAGTGAATTCTTTATCATTTTCGTGAACGTCCATTGGAGGAGCCCAAGTATTCACACGACTATTAGCCCGTCTGGGCCATTCTTTAAGGAAATCATCGAAGATGCGAGTGGTAAGAGGAGTAGTATCCCAGCCGTAATTGGTGAGAGACATTTTAAATTAAAAATACAAATGAAAATTTTTAACGTTTCGGTTTTCCTTTTTTTTTTTGATTTTTTGATAAATTGTTGGATAGTATTCAAGGCCTATTTATACTTTCACACAAAGTAGACGTTTGAAATTTTCTCGCGTGTTCTGGTATCCAAATAATTGGATCGGTTCTGCTTTTGAGTTAGTGTTGGTGAAAATTGTCTCACCCTACTCATAGTGAAAAGTGTATTTACATCATTCTTGAGAAAATTTTTCAAGTAGTCTCTAAATTTTACATCATCCTTAAGAAATTTTTCAAGTAGTCTCTAGAATAATTTGGAATTTATTCTCACTCTGCCGCCAAGATTTAAAATAAAATCGAATAAGCTAGAACGTATGTAAATCATCCTTCCCTTTTGTCTAAAGCGGAGTTAATCACGGGATCATGGTAAATTATTTATCACCTGTAATACATCTTACCACTTTTAGTTTTTATTAAGTATTCCGGGGGCAAATCTTAATTGTCAGGTCCCTTATTCGTCACTTAATTAATTTCTTAATGCCGTAATGCCGGCAAAACTACTCCGCTTTTAGACGGATCCCTTTTCTGTATAATTCATACAAATTACGTACATTTTTTTTATTTGCTTTTTTTTATTATATGATGATTAAGTAATTTATTAGCTAATAAATATATAAAACATTTTATGTAATTTATTGATTTCTATTTAAATAATTTGTCACCCTGCGTCACACCTTTCACATTTCATTTTTACTATATATTCTGGAGACAATTTTTTTTCAAGTGTAAAATCATATTCTTCACATGTTATTCGTAACATCCTTAATTTCTGCCAAAATTTATAATTCTGTCTAAAATGCCTTTTTAGGATGTTAAATATCATTACACAAATCCAAAATCGAAATATGGTTACCGATGATGACCATCAGTAATGGTAAATAGTAAACTCCTTTATAAATTTAATATAAAATATAAAAATATAATAATTAAAAAAAATAATATAAGAGCTATCTTTAAATTTTTTTTAAAAAATTAATTTTATAAATATCATCACTAAATTCAGTTTTAATTATTTTAATATCTAAATTAAAAGTCTGTAACAATTGATTTTATTGTTGGAATTTATAATTTTAGGATCTATATCAATTTTACAATTTATATATCTTAGAATTTAAGATTTATTTAGTTAAATTTAATGATAAACTTTAAAGCAAATTATAATTAAATCCTGAATAAGAGATAATGTTAAAGGGAAAAGTATTTTAAAAGTTTAAAACTTGCTTATGAGTTAATTTAGTAGTGTCCTAGAACATGATAATATATTAATATATTATCATATCCTAGGACACTACTTGCTCCAGATTATTATGTCCTAGGACACCATAGTCTATTGATTAATATGTCTTATGACATCATAGTCTTTTGATTAATATGTCCTAGGACACCATAGTCTATTGATTAATATATCTTATGACATCATAGTCTTTTGATTAATATGTCCTAGGACGCCATAGTCTATTGATTATTTTGTTCTAAAGATGGGGCTGTTTTCCCTTCTGTGATGTAATGGTTTTTTCAAAAATATTTGGTATGTCGTGGGCGTACTGAGCTTGGTTGCCGGGTTGGTGACCCTCGTAAAATATTTAATAAATACATTCGTTTTATAAATGATCACAAATTGGAACACTGAATTGTGAACTCCGTTAACAAGTGTTAACGATCAGAGCACTTTGGAAATTTCAAAACTGGAGATACCATATGTCATCATATGTGATAATGAATTTATAAGAAATAAAGAAGCATCCCAAGAAGGGCCAGCC